AAGTGTTAAATGAGATCTGAATTAGCCAACTTCAAATGTAGTGAAGTAGCATAAAGCACAACAGCTCGCTTGCTTGCTTGCTATGTAGCAACGCGATGTTTGCATTGGAGTTCATATCCAATCAGACAGCGACTCCGGTTCCACTGATTGGACAGTTTTGAGATAAAAGGCGGGACTAAGAATCAACTGTCATTTTGATTGGCCGAAGCACCCTTCACTCAATGACAAGGCATGTTTCATTTCAACCAAGTCATTCATATGTAAGATATTTCCAAACATATTTACGTTCATTTATGTACTTTTAAAAACGCATAAAGTCCTCAATAATCAGTTTGGACTTTTTAAAATAATTTTGTTCTTTATTATGATACAAACCATGTGGGAACATATACACATGAGCATCTGCCGTTAGCAAACCGGTTTACTACTCAATAAACAGCACAGGGGCCGCTAAAATAACTTTACATTATAACGTGTGTTATTTTAAAATGCTTTTGCCTCCAAAGCTGCAATTTACTGCAGTAAAGCACAGCATAATAGAAGTATGTTGTGAATTTCTTACCTTCTGCAGTGGAGGGTGAGTTTGCTAGTTTCAACAGTACAGGAAGTGTTCATTCATCCCCGCTCGACAAAAAACACTGCAAGTCAACTTTGGGTTCCTACCCCGCTGAATTCATCAGCAGTGTACTACAGGACACTGGCTATGGTTGCTCGTCACGGTTTATTGTGACATATGGCGATCGCTACTTGTAGTCTTTTGTTCGAGATGCATTTTTACACTACTTTAATTATTAATCGCCACAGTCTGTTTCTTCTTTATGCATATTTATATTTATATTCGTCTTTCAGTAGGGTACATGCACAGCTACTGTTTCTTTCCATGCTGATAAACATCAGGTGAACGGTTAATATGACTTTTTCAATTTTATATGGTTCCTTTTACAGCATTGATGTTGTAATGTAATTAAAATATAATCATTTAAATAGACTTTGGCGTTCATTTAGTTCAGGGGTGGCCAACCCTGTTCCTGGAGAGCCACCTTCCTGCAGATTTCAGTTGCTACCCATATCAAACACACCTGAACCAATTAATTAGGACCTGAACACCACGTGATAATTACAGGCAGGTGTGTTTGATATGGGTTGCAACTGAAATCTGCAGGAAGGTGGCTCTCCAGGAACAGGGTTGCCCACCCCTGATTTAGTTGCTCTAGTGTAAAATGAGATGAACAGCTGTTTGCACGCACGCACCCATCACGGTGAGCAGGCTAGCGCAGAAACTCCATTGAATATAATGGAGTAAAATAAATTCATATTTTGAAGACATGCATAGCTGCCAACTTTCACACATTTGGCGTGAGAGTCACGCAACTGACAACATTCTCACGCTCTCACACCACACATCCATTTTCTCACGCTGAAAAATCTCTGTGAAATATATTTTTAGGTTTAATAAAGACGGTTTTAAAGACTTTTTTCGTTATATAAAGATGTTATTCTCTATGTGCAACTGAATCAAGACTGGTGAAAGCCATGTAAACAATAACAAACTGACGCATGCACACAGATGACAAGCCCGCACACCTCTCGCTGCTCGCATTCCCTTTCCGGGTATGAATCCCAGTTGTATCATCTAAAAAAAATATGCGCTGCTCACACGCCACTTATGCTTTGTGTTTTGCCAAGAAACGCACCCCTGCGGTAAAATGCACCCCTTTCATAGACTTTCATTAGGACTCTCTGTCTTCTGTAAGGCAAGGGTTTACTGTGTTATTAAAAAGATTGTATCAATTTCAGTTAATAGATGCATATTTCAGAGGGGGTGCATTTAATGGCAGGGCTAACAGCCTTTTATGTAGGCTAAAGGTGTCAGCCTGCAGTGAGTTTTGAAAGTCTGAAGTTTAAACAATATTATGATCTTATTTTGACTCATGGCTCCTTATAGATTTTTTTTTTTTTTGTATAAAGCAGAAAGAAGGAAGTTTAGACCGCATTCGTTCACTGATTTTCTTTTCGGTCCCTTTATTAATCTGGGGTCGCCACAGTGGAATGAACCGCCAACTTATCCAGCATATGTTTTACGCAGCGTATGCCCTTCCAGCTGCAACCCATCACTGGGAAACATCCATACACTCCTATTCACCCACATACACTAGGGACAATTTGGAGTTTAGACTTAATAAACCTTATTCTCGGCCATGAGTCAGGTCTAAGACAACACACAACAGACAATTCTATAAATCATACTTTTTGTGTTGTATAGACTTGTCTATAGAATTTTATTCTAATGAAATTAATATATTTATGCAAAAAAAAAAAATCTTAAATTATCTTAGCATATCACTTTAGTCTTTACATTGTTTTCCAGTTACATTTAGAATTTATTATTTTATTTTATTTTATTAGAATATAATAATAATTGGATAATAATAATATTAATAATACTTTTATTTATAATAAATATTTAATTAAAAGTGTTAAAAAAGACATAATTTTTATAGATTTATAAATAAATGGGGGTGTGGTTTGGTGTGGGCAGGGCTTGTTGGCATAGGGCAAGCTAAAGGCAAAAGTTGGCATCCCTGAAGACATGGCATGGGAAAATGTCATATAATGCAGTGCTTCTTGTACGTTCTGAGATCCATTTTATATCTTCCGTGCAGTGAAGATCGTTGATTTTTTTAGGAAAACTGACCTTAAACGTGCTGATTTTGTAACGGCATACAGTTCACCGGTAGTGTTTGACCCAGGTTACTGCAAAATTAAAAGTCCTTCTGCATATACCCTATCCCTTCATTGATGTTATAAACAAGCTCAAATAAATACAAACATAATAAATTTTTGTCAAATTTCAAATATGAGACGTCACATTTTGGTGTTTGCATCAAAATAACAAATTTACTTCATGATTCATATAACTTTTATAAATATAAGCTGCCAGTCATTGTAACAGATACATTTATGCAAAATGAAACAACATACCTAATCTGACCTGCTTAAAGTATAAATGAAATATATAATTAAATTATGAAAATATAATTAAACTAAATAAAATCTTATGTTATAATATTAGTGTAATATTGTAAATGATCATAAATTTCTTGTTAAAAACTAGTTTTGTTTTGATGCTTTTTGACCCATATTACGAAGCATATACAATTATTACATTAATTAAATGAACTCAAGCGAGACCAATCAATAAGGTAATAAACTAATGGATAATTAAATAAATATTAAATAAATAATATCATTAGGTGAGCTAAATTGTCTGTAGTGTATGTGTGTGAATGAAAGTGTATGGGTGCTTCCCAGTGATGGGTTGCAGATGGACGGGCATCCGCTGCTTGAAGTATATGCTGGATAAGTTGGAGGTTCATTCTGCTGTGGTGACCCCAGATTTATAAAATGACTAAACTGAAAAGAAAATGAATTAATTAATTTATTTGTAAAAACAAGTTTGAAAAAGTTTAGTATGCTTTATTTGTTTTGATGCTTAAAACTTTTTTTATATTTGACCCATATTATGAAGCATATAAAATGATTACATAAATTACATAAACTCAAGGGGGATTAATCAATAGAATAATAAAATAAAGGGTTATTATACTGGCAAAAAATATTATATGTTATAATTATATCATTGTTATTGTTTAGGCTCTTAATAACATATAGGGAACATGGTCAGATTTTACAATGACAGTTTTATATGTATAGAAAGCATCATATGAACATTTTAAACAATGTAATACATTATTTAATAAAAAAATTTTATCAATAAATATAAAAATAAAATAAATATATCAATATATATTTATATTACCCATTTACTGATAACCCATACTAATAAAAATTAGGAAACATGGGCAAATCTTACAATGTTACTTTTATATGTATAACGAGCATCATACAAACATTTGAAAGTAAATTATTAAATAAAAAAAAGTGTGTCTTGAATATATCAATATATACACTCACCGGCCACTTTATTAGGTACACCTGTCTAACTGCTTGTTTCTATACAGCCACATGGCAGCAATTCAATGCATTTAGGCATGTAGACTTGGTCAAGACGATCAGTTGCAGTTCGAAGCATCAGAATAGGGAAGAAAGGTGATTTAAGTGACTTTAAACGGGGCATTGTTGTTGGTGACAGTGGGGCTGGTCTAAGTATTTCAGAAACAGCTGATCTACTGGGATTTTCATGCACAACCATCTCTAGGGTTTACAGAGAATGGTCCGAAAAAGAGAAAATATCCAGTGTGCGGCAGTTCTGTGGGTGCAAATGCCTTGTTGATCCCAGAGGTCAGAGGAGAATGTCCAGACTGGTTCCAGCTGATAGAAACATATAACAGTAACTCAAATAACCACTGTTACAACCAAGGTAAGCAGAAGAGCATCTCTGAATGCACAACATGTCCAACCTTAAGACAGAAGAGCTACATAAGCAGAAGACCACACCGGGTGCCACTCCTGTCAGCTAAGAACAGGAAACTGAGGATACAGTTTGCATTGTTAAATTCACAAAACGGGGGATTTGCATTATGGACGTGCAGCCAACAAATCTGCAGCAACTGTGTGATGCTATCATGTCAATATGGACCAAAATCTCTGAGGAATATGTTTGTTGAATTTATGCCACAAAGGATTAAGGCAGTTCTGAAGGGTCCAGCTCGGTACTAGTAAGGTACCTAATAAAGTGGCCGGTGAGCGTATATAACCCTTATACTTTATAACCAATAACCTAATAACAATTAGGGAAGATGCTCAAATTTTACAATGTTAATTTTTTATATGTATAACAAGCATGATAGGAACATTTTAAAAGTTAATAAAATGTTTAATAACAAAAACATCAGTTTTTAATGTATTAATATTTTCCAACAAAACAATTATACATAATTCACTGCTAAAAACACAAACCTTTTCTTTTTGGCCCTATTTTGCGCATGTTTCTGCGAGGGTCTGGCAACACAGTGATACATTCGCTAGTGTGTGTGTCACTTTAAGCAAGGGAAAGTTGAAATCACGTGTTCCACTGTAGAAAGTTTGACAAGTTGGTCGATATAAGTCCTCCGTTTTCCCGCTATCGAAAACCTTGAATGTCATTCTCTCGTGTCCTTTTCTTCTATTAAAAACCAAAATAGGAAACTAAACCGGAATCGAAGTGTTTTGTATCAGCGACAGCGTAAAACCACCCAAACATGGAAGTCGTGCAGGTAATAAACTATCAGCAGTTTAGCAATCTTCGCGTTTTCCGCTCCACAACGTCGATGTGAGGATTTCATCTTTATTTTCTCCATTTACAGAAAGTCATGTCGGGATTTAGTCTGGATTTGGGACCTGTGAAAGAGCCACTGGGATTTATCCGACTCCTGGAATGGGTGAGTTTTTACGATCAGTCAACAAGTCCATATTGTATACTTCAGCTGCAAAGTTAAATATGACAAAAAATACACTGCTACTTATAGTTTTAAACACTATATTAGATGATTATATCGACGTACACTACTATTACACAACTGCGTTGTAGTCACATATGGTGCTGTTTTGTCAATAGGGGCCAACACCCATGTCAATATAATGTCAACTAGACCAAAACTAGCATGTAATCCATTATGAAGGTCATTTATATAGATGTACTCTTTAAGTGTAATATCTGATTGGGTATGTGCAGTAAAAATCCTCTCAAGCATACAAATGCATGCAAATTTTTACATGTCCAGCCCTGCGCACTGTCCCTTGAGAATTAAATGATGTTTACATTGCCAACGGTAGGAGCAACCAAGATAGTCCTGTTTGTCACATGCACATTTAGAGACTCCTATGGTGGACTTTAGACTAATATCGCTTATATGCACTGCAAACAATAGCAAATCTAGGCTATAAAGGCTGTAAAACACACCTATCTGCAGGGCTCCCAGACCGATGTGGGTAACTAGGCCTGGAGTTCATTAACCTACTAAGAAATGAGGCTGGATGTGAAATTAACTTTTTGATTTAGGTGACTTTTTATGTCAGTCAGATCTCATTTTCTTATGTTTTGACCGATCTAGAGTGGAACAGAGAATGTCATTGAGGTAAAATAGGTTTTATATTCACACATTTTGACTTTCTCCTTAATATTTTCATCTCTTAATAATATTATCTCCTTTTTTAATTCTAAACAGGGAAATCATAATAGCAGCCAATGACTATTTAAGTACAACCTTGTTCACAGTCAATTAAGTAGTGCTAATGTTGTGTTTAAGTCATACTTGTATGCGATTTCAGACTGAACATGCAAAGTAGAAGCTGCCACTGTTTAAAAATGAACGAATGTGTAAATCTAAAACCAACTTTACCTCAATGAGAATGTGGAATCTTTCCCTAGGAGGGGCATCTAAGCTACACTTGCCCGACTTGCGAGCTAAATATATTTGTTTGTTCTTGATTTAGTTGTAGACTAGACTGAAATTCTATCCAGCTGAACTGACTCTCTTCTAACTCTAGTTAAGAAGTTCGGAAGTAGAAGCCAACTGCCACAAATTTCAGTGATATGTGATGCTATAGCTGCGTACTCGTTGGCGTAAATATCCAAGGTCATTTTTAGAAACTATGTTGAATGCACAGAAAGGAATTCCAGCGGCTGCTACTGAACGAATAGCATGTGGTTTATTAGATATAATTCATTAACTGGATTGGTATCTCATTGACTTTGACTTGTGTAGTACATTATCCTTGTAATGCTGTACATGTCTCCTTCTGAGGTTCTGTTTACTCCTGGTTTTAAAGGGTATTTCACCCAAAAATGCAAATTCTGCCATTTGTTTACTCATCTTCGACTTGTTCCAAACTTGTTTGGGTTGCTTTCTATGGCACACAAATGAAGATATTCTGGAGGATGCTGGAAAAATAAACTTCCATAATATTTTGTTTGTTCCTACTATGGATGTTGATGGCTGCTTTTTTTTTGTCCAGCATTCCTAATAATATTTTGTTTAGCATTTAACAGAAGTAATACATTCTTATGACCACTTATGTGGGTGTACATTTTTAGGTGAACGGTCTCTTTTAAGATGTTTTGTTTGTCAGTCTGATCAAGTGCATGACACTAAATAAGTACCGGTGTAAACGATGATGTGCCTTTATCTTGTCCACTTTTGACCAATTTCAGTTTGGTTTCTAGTGTGAATGTCTTATTTTGTTGAATGCATTCAAAAGACACCAGCACACTGACCTAATTAAACATGGGTTGAGTTTTGGAATTGCGTTAGCCTGATGTATTTACCCAGATTTAAACTTTGCTGTCCGAAATCATACATATTCAGTTTTACAGCAAAAAATAATAAAAATCTGCTCTGACCTGTCCTGATTTTAACACAAATCCAGATTGTTCACCATTGTTTTGCTTCCTTTAAAGCAGGGGTGTCAAACTCAATTCCTGGAGGGCCGAAGCCCTGCACAGTTTAGTTCCAACCCTGCTCCAACCCACTTGTAGGTTTCAAACAAGCCTGAAGGACTTAATTAGTTTGATCAGGTGTGTTTAATTAGGGTTGGAACTAAACTGTGAAGAGCTGCGGCCCTTTTGGAACTGAGTTTTACACCTGTGGTTTAAAGGGATAGTTCAGCCAAAAATGTAAATTTACTTACTCAGGGCTCAACAATAAGGACTGCCCAATGTCCTGGGGCCAGCATGCAAGACTCGGGCCAGTGCTACCTTGTCACTAAAGTTTAATTTGGCTGTGACTTTTTGTCAATTGTCAGTAATTGACTGTTTTCTCAACTTCAAGTGGTTCCAAACATTTGTGAGTTGTTGTTTTTTTGTATCTTGAACATAAAAGAGAATATTTTGAAGAAAGCTAAAATCCTGACCCATATAATATAATTTATAGTATACATTACTATCGTATAATTTCATGTGGGTGTCTGACAACTGAAAATAGTAGCAGATATCACAGCCTCTGTTACTTTTTACCTTGCACTTTTTTGTTAACATTTATTATTATTTATTTAGGTTATGCGTTTCCACATTCTGATTCCAATGCCTGATTATTAAACTGTTAAAATGACTATAATTAAATGAAATACTCTTAGGAATAATATATGATGTGTTTTTTGGAAGAGTGTACTTGCATTGTGATGATATTATATTGTCATTCTGGCATTATATAATGTGTGGTCTTAAAATAACAATAACATTGTTTATTGCAATATAATTTTGTGCAATATATTGTACAACAAAATATAGATGTCGTGACAGGCCTACTTGTGATACTTTTTGATTTGGTTCCTAATTTGGTTTGGTGTTCACACGGTCTTATTTAAGGCAGATCTAATAGATGCAAGGCAAAAAAAATCCGACCAAACTTAACAAACATCTAAGACGATGTTGAATGTGCTTGTTGCATTTGTGAATGTGATGGTATTTTTACCAATTGACATATCAAGAAAAGCTTAGATTTGTAAAAGAGAGAAACCATTTGTACAATTTCTCTGTGAAACACGTAAAAAAGATCTGCTGCAAGGCTGAGATGCACCTTCTTTAGTGATTTTTATTACCATTTTCTCGCCTGGCAGGTCTGTGTCTGTCTCAAGTAGAGTATGCCAGACCCTTTGTAAACATTTGCACTTTGCACACAATTTTTCCTTTGTCTTTAAAAGTCATTATGCTGTAGATGCAAACATGCAAGGTGGCAGACAAAGGAGGAGGTGTGAGTTTAACACAGTAGTGTGTTGTTTTGGATCTCTTTCTATGGAGCACATGGAATTTCTGCAATTTAATCCACACTATTAAGGTGCTGCTTTCAAGTGGGAACAGATTTCTTCACAAATTAGTCTAAACAAAAAGCACAGGTTCATTTAAGTAGGTGTAAATTAAACTGATATATCATTAAATTAAACTCTTCTTTTTCATCACCCATTTTAGAAAATAAACTACCAATATGTTTTTGTAGATTTTATAAAATCTTTCAAATCAGTTTTGGTCAGTTTAAAATGATAGTTCATCAAAAAATGAATACTTTATCATACTTACTCACCATCGAGTGCTCAAGTTTCTTCTGTTAAATACAAAAGAAGATATTCTGAAAAAAAAAGTTAAAAACCTAACCATTGACTTCTATTGTAGAAAAACAAATACAGAGGAGGTCAATGGTTACAGGTTTTCAGCATTCTTCAAAATATCTTCTTTTTGTGTTTAACAGAAGAAAGAAACCGATTAAGGTTTGAAACAAGTAAAGGGTGAGTAATTGATGGAATAATTTTCTTTTTTGGTGTAACTATTCCTTTTTTTTTACATCTTTACTGTATCTTTATTATTATTATTATTATTATTTTTATTATTATTATTATTATTATTATTATTAATTAGTATTGATTATTTAATTCACATTGCTTATACCAAACATATAAATAAAGTAAATAATATTTTACTAGATATTTTTTCCATTTTTTTCGAAGTCACATTTAAAGGCTTAACTAGGTTAATTAGGTTAACTAGGCAGGTTAGGCAAGGTATTAACAATGGTTTGTTCTGTAGACTATCGAAGAAAATAGGGGCTAATAAATTTGACTTTAAAATGGCTTTAAAAAATTCAAAATTGCTTTTATTCTTGCCAAAATAAACTTTCTCCAGAAGAAAAAATATTATCAGACATACTGTGAAAATTTCCTTGCTTTGTTAAACATCATTTGGGAAATATTTAAAAAAGAAAAAAAATTCAACAGCGGGCTAATAATTCTATACAAAATTTAAGATGTTGGTGTCTCCTTAAAAAAAATTGATAAGGGCTTCAGAGTTTTTGGATCTGTTCTGGGTTTTGTTTAGTTGCAAACCGAATCTTTTCTATCTTAGGAGCATGTAAAAAATCAAAAACCCATTGCCGCTAAAAAGGGGGAACTGATGACATCCAATTCATAAGAAAAACAGATATCATAATGCGTTAAATGGTTTCATAGTAAGTGTCGTTTTTACAGTGTTTTTTATCACAAATGCAGATTTGATGAGCCATAAGACCTCTTTCACAATCAAAAGCATTTGACCAGTCATGTACGTTTATGATTTTTAGTGTAGGTGTAACCGGTCTCTTTCATTTTGTAAAAGTGCTTGAATGCGTAGGAGGATAAGGCTTAAAATATGCCTTCCTTAGCATTTTCTTTCAAATTATTCCTGAATTGCGAAAAAAAAAATGAGGAAACAGCCGAGTTTGACACATTATTTTCTTGTAAGGCAAGAATGTCAGCCACTCCCTTTGAAATCAGCATGTGTCCGCAGTGCTGTTTTTTGCTTTAAACCACCACATCCCACATCCCATAAAGCAACAATAGGGAGGAAGAATGGGTTGCTAGCAGGTAAACTGACCTCTGATCACGTTCACTCCGGTGGCAAGCATGCTTCATTCACACAAAGGCACACTTTTGTAGTCACTTGCTTCATGTAGGTGTGCATTCCTCCGTGAACGTGGCATCGGCCCACCATGTGCTTGTGTTTGGTGCCAGGCATCCATAGTTTCCCCGCTGTGCTTCTCTGTGCAAAGCACCTGCAACACACACTGATCAGGAACGAAGCCAAAGTCTTGCCAGGGTGAAGATCATCACACACCCACTTCTTAGAAAGCTGAGGGATTTTCAGGGAAGTGAAAGTGTAGGAGTATTTTTAGGATCCTTTTGGGGTGCAATACTTACCAATGTTGTTTATTTAGAGCAGGGGTCAACAATCTTGTTCCTGGAGGTCCGGTGACCTGCAGGGTTTAGCTCCAACTTGCCTCAACACACCTGCCTGGGTGTTACAAGTAAACGAGAGCTGCATCCCAAATGGCACACTATACACTATGCACTCATGCACTATGTACTTATGCACTAACACACTCAACAGGATAGTATATGTAGTGTTGTCCCAAATGGAACACTAATGTTTTTTTACTAAGCGGAAATTTAAACCGTTTCCCTGGTGACGTTTGACAATTGATAAATCAGTGAAATAAACAACCGAATTGTCAAACAATACCTGCCGTGAGTATTGCCGCATTCACCATCGGGAGGCGCTATAATCACTATCGTAGGAGAATTTTGCTTTCACCATCCAAAATAAATAAAGTTATCCAACATGTGCGTCCGATAGCTAGGCCCCTTCCGCTACGTAAGCAAACCTGCGGTCGTTGAGTGCGTGAAGTGTCCATCATTACACACTTCATTTTAGCAGCTGAATGAGTGCATCATCCGGGTAATAAAAAAGCACTTAATGTTTTTTGAGTTTTCAGTGTGAACACACTACTTACACTATTTATACTACAAAATGCCGTAGAATAGTGCATAAGTATGCGATTTGGGACGCAGCTCTTGGAAGACCTTGATTAGCTTGTTCAGGTGTGTTTGATTAGGGTTGGAGGTAAAATCTGCAGGACACCGGACCTCCAGGAACAAGTTTGGTGATCCCTGATTTAGAGGATCAAATATCTGGCTTAATGAGGGATGGAAGCAGTCGAGTGTCTCTTTGTTTTTTGTTTATAGTTTGGTTCGAGGGTGTGTTGATACAGATTTTGAATAGTCTCTTATAATAAATTGAATCATGGTTTGGTTGTATAGCACATTAATACAGACTTTGGTTAGCACTGTCATCTCACAGCAAGAAGGTTGCTGGTTCAAGTCCTGGCTGGGTCAGTTGGCATTTCTGTGTGGAGTTTGCATGTTTTCCCCATGTTGGTGTGGGTTTCCTCAGGGTGTTTCGGTTTCTCCCACAGTTGAAAGACATGAACTCCACACAAAAATGCCAACTGACCCAGCCGAGGCTCGAACCAGCGACCTTCTTGCTGTGAGGCAATCGTGCTACCCACTTCGCTGCTGTGCTGCCCTATATTATATTATATTATATTATATTATATTATATTATATTATATTATATTATATTATATTATATTACATTACATTACATTACATTACATTATATTATATTATATTATTTTATATTTTGGGAATGGTCAAAATATATGAGCAATATCACACTCTTAGCACTGCAATATGGCTGTATATTGGCACTGGTTGGCTTGAGGCCGCAGGCCAAGTGCCTTAGTGTCCCACCAGTCACGATATACAGCCTTATCGCACTGCTAATCATGTGATAATGTGTTTATACAACAGTTTGACAGCATTATCGTGTATATAAAAAGAAAATCAAACAAGGAGTCTCAAAAACCTTTTTGTAAGAGAAACTACTCTCTTCCACTGTTCATTCACATCTGCAGCTGACGTCAGAACAGCAGAAACTGATGCTCATTCTCAAATGTCACTTTAGAGCTAGTATTTGAATGATTCTCTAGCGTAATGTCTAAGGTGAGGACAAAACAGTTGATTTTGCTCACATTTTAAGATTATAAGGCTGAACGACATGAAATGTCATCAGTCTACAGAGATTTCCCAGTATATTTCTGTTGCAATCGGGAGATCATAATAATTAAACCCAAAAATGCCAAAGCAAAGTGAACAAAAACAATACTGTTGTATAAATACAGCGCTGTAATGTAATATAATATTATAATGAAGTAATAAGGAAGACCTCTCAGTGTTGGTATTTTCTTCTTTCTGCATCCAATTTGAAACTTTTACCGCACAATAACAACAATTCAATCTTAAAATAAATAGTTAATTCTAAATTTGATATATAATCTCAATTCAATGATTTAAGCTGTGGTTTGATAAAAAAAAAAAAGTTATATATTTTTATTATTATTTCATGAGATTCACCATTCAATCGGCAGCATTTTCCTAGGCCAGTGTTCACACTTGAGGGAAGTTCTGCATCCTACTATATTTTTTCCTGTTTAACAGCAGCTGTTTCTCTGAAGATCATTGTTTCTGAAATGGGGGAATCCACAGGGCTCGCTTCACTGACCGTACAGTCCTTGGAATTCTTTAATATGTAATGCTGAAATGCAAAAAAGAAAGATTAAACTTTAACTCGGCTTAAATATTTGTGTTAAATTTCCACTGATTCAGCCTATGAGAAAAGTCATCTTAAAGTGATAGCACACCTAAAAGTGAAAGTTCTGCTCTTTTACCCACCATCAGTCCAATAAAAGAAAGTCATGTGGTTTAAACCAATAAAAAGGTGAGGGAATAAGGACAGAATTTCTGTAAATCTGTGCCTGAGATCTATGATGTTCCTCCATTACACAATTTGGCTGTTAAAAGATCTCTTTTTCAAAAATGGTCACAATTTACCAGCAAAACACAGGAAAGACAGGTTCACGTAAATGTCTGCAGAAACCATAAATCATAGCTGTGCTACTGTAGTGATTTTCACAAGTGTCTGCAGAAGTCTCTTCCTGTGTGGAAGTGGGGAGTTTGTAAAAGGAAAGCACTGAACCACGGGCCAGGATATCTGCGAGTCAGCCGGGGGAAAAGATTGAGGAATCATTTACAGATGGAGAAATTCTCTGCTTGAAGACAGTGCTGTTACAGGGATTTTTATTTTATTTTATAATTTTTATTTTTATTTTTTTTTTAAATATTTTTTTGTTTCGTTGTTTTTGTTTTATTTTTACGTTTGTTTTTGTTATTTTTGTTATTTTATTTTATTGTTTTGTTGTTTTTTTATTTAATTTAAAATATTTTGTCTTGTCTTTTTATTTATTTTTGTTTTTGTTTTTATTTTATTTGTATATTATTTGTTTGGTTGTTTTTTATTTAATTTTTAGCTATGTTGTTTTTATTTTATTTCATGTATTCTGTTTTTTTTTGTTTTGTTGTTTTTTTTATTTTATTTTATGCATTTTATTTTATTGTATGTATATTGTTTTGTTTTATTTTTATTTTATTATTTTTGTTTATTTATTTTTTGTTGTTTTTTTGTTTGTTTTATTTATTTGTTTTTGTTTGTTTTTGTTGTTTTGTGTTTGTTTAATTCTATGACTTACTTTACTGTCCACAACTGGAAATTTATCTTTGGCTTTCTCCAAATAATTACATCAACATCCACATCACATACATCACAAAAAAGTAACACTAATACATTTAATATCATTACATAAATCACATAAAAATGCAATTAACTATTCATACATAATTTTAAATAACTTTAATTAAAATTCTAATGGCAAAAATGACATTTGATTTACATTTTTCTTTACTTGAGGCTCCCTAAAACGTCTTTTTGATGGCAAAAGCTGAAATTTTATATTTAAGGGATGAGAACAATCTTCAAATTTTTATTTTTCTTCATTTATTTATTTATTTATTTATTTATTTATTATTATTATTATTATTATTATTATCATTATTATTATTATTATTATTATTCATTCATTTTCTTTTCAGCTTAGTCCTTTTATTAATCCGGGGCTGCCACAGTGGAATGAACTGCCAACTCATCCAGCTCGTTTTTACGCAGCAGATGCCCTTCCAGTCGCAACCCATTTCTGGGAATCATCCACACACACTCACATATACTCGTACACTACGGACGATTTAGCCTACCCAGTTCACCTGTACCGCATGTCTTTGGACTGTGGGGGAAACCGGAGCACCCGGAGGAAACCCACGGGAACGCAGAGAGAACATGCAAACTCCACACAGAAACACCAACTGACCTAGCCAAGGCTCGAACCAGCAACCTTCTTGCTGTGAGGCGACAGCACTACCTACTGCACCACTGCGTCACCCATTATTATTATTGTTATTATTATTATTATTATTGTTGTTATGTTTGTATTCATTATTAACTAATTTTAAAATGAAGACCCTATTTTAAAGGTGGACAACATATAAATTAGATATCTAAAAACATATGTACACAGTCAATCAGTACAAATGTTTTTGTCAGGATTTACTGAAGAAACGCAGTGAAATACTAGTGATGAAATAGCTGGGAAACAGATGTCATTGCATATGCGTATCAAGTTTTATTTTCAGAGACAAAATATGTGGGAGGAGAGATTTAAACTAATTATGCAATGTTAATGGTGCAATCCTAAAGTCATTTTGCTACTCTGAAAAGAACATTTTCAAATACACAGATGTCTTATAAAGGTTTTTTGTGTGCGTGTGTGTGTTTTTATTTTTAGGTTTTTACCATTTGTGCCTTTGCAACCACTGGTGGTTATGTTGGATCCACTGTTTTCACTCTTAAATGTCCAGACAAAGATGATGTTGATGTTACTGCTAATTTTGGATATCCATTCAGGTATAAACAACCACATTTCAATCCTATTTCTATACATTTTTACTATTAAAATGTTGTCTGGTTGAAAGTCATGCAATTAAGGAAGACTTGTTCACGCCAACAGTGAAAACCTTAAACAATTAGGGCTAGGCGATAAGGCAAAAATGCTATCTTGATAATTATTTTCCAATGTTAACGGTATACATTTCGATATAAGTTGTTATGCTTCCAGATTTAAAAGAGTATCCCAATGATGACTGAAGCCACAAATATAACATATTTTTGGCCGATAAATTTCCGGTAGCCGAAAATTTACATCTTGGTAGTCGAAAATTTTATATCAACACAATCCCATTTGTAAGAGTAACAAATAATAACTTGACTTTGAGTTGATCAATTGGAAAAGTGGCAGAAGGTAGATCTTTAGATCTGTTGAACTGCATCCCAATTATCACAAATACTGCAGAAGACCTATTGTAACTCAATCAGACCACAGATTTTCTCAGATATCAGTCAAGTTTGGTGAAGGAATAATCATGGTTTGGGGTTACATTCAGTATGGGGGAGTGCGAGAGATCTGCAGAGCGGATGGCAACATCAACAGCCTGAGGTATCAAGACATTCGTGCTGCCCATTACATCACAAACCATAGGAGAGGGCAAATTCTTCAGCAGGATAGCGCTCCTTCTCAAACTTCAGCCTCCACATCAAAATTCCTGAAAGCAAAGAACGTCAAGGTGCTCCAGAATTCGCTAGCCCAATCACTAGACATAAACATTATTGAGATGGAGGAGGCATTGAAGATGAATCCAAAGAATCTTGATGAACTCTGGGAGTCCTGCTTTCTTTGCCATTCCAGATGACTTTATTATTAAGTGATTCGAGTCATTGCAATGCAGATATGTATGGATGCAGTCCTCTAAGCTTATGGGAGTCCTACACGATATTCATTTTTTTCCACTTCACCATGACTTTATAAACTGTTTTTTATTATGTCTGTATTACTGTTAAGTGACAAGACTTTTGTCTAAGCAAAGTCAGACCTCACTGTCCTAATGAAATAATTAAAAATCAAGGCATGATCATGTTTTACTTTGGTAAAATAAGTGTAATCTAGAGGCCTTTGCCTTTCATATAAGCCACTTCTGATACCAAATGGTCAACTAGAAGTCAAGTTATTATTTGTTGTTCCTAAAACAAGACTTTTGTCAGGTAGTGTAGTCTTGCTGTGTGACTATTGCGTATACATGCATTGCTCAAACAATATACTGTGCAGCCCTAAGTTGAACCACTTAAGCAGGGTGCGAATTATGCATTCAGTAATGTTAGTTTGTGTAAATACATGCTTCAGTGAATCAAATTTATGTAATTATTTAATTTACTTATAATTTATCAATAATTAATAGCTATTTCAGGTCAAACTTTACAAACTTTGCATCTAATTTGACTTTACTTTTAGGCTACATGTTGAAACAAACATCGATTTTATGAGAAATCAGTCTTGTGAACACTTATGATGTCTATCGGTGCACTAGATCTGCAGGTGTCAGACTGTTGAATTAGTTTTTTTCTTGCGTAGTCTAATTCGCGGGATTATGCATTCACAATGGTATGAACATTATTGGGGTGGTCAAGTAGATATCTATTATTTTAATTAAAATGCAGATCAGACTGAACTTTTTCTCTGATTCAAAGGAAGCCCCCAATGCATATTATTTCAACGTCCTTCAGGGGGATCAAGCCTTAATTAGGGGAGTCAATTCCCCCCCAAACTCCCCTGTGATTTGCACCCTGTGTTTATGTTTTGATAATGTTTTTGGTTCCTTTTCTGAACTTCGACATTTCTGGATTGTTATCTATGGAGGATTTCATCTAAAATATCTTAATTTGTGTTTGAAGATGAACAAAGTTCTCAGGGGATTGGAATGACCTAATGAGTAATTAATAACCAAATTTTCAGCAAACTTTTCTTTTACAGAGCTCAAACGTGATGATAAAACAAATGATCATGTGCATCGGTGTTGATGATAATGCAGTTATCTTTATTGCTTTTGATGTGAACAAGCCTTAAACCATTTGCATGTTGACAGCCTTGAAGGAAATGAGTGTTATAGTTCTGTGCACTCAAATGATGGAAAAGCCCCAGTTAACATGTGACTTCCACTTTCTAGGCTTCCGAGTCACCCATACCTGATTAATCATTGCAATGGCTCCAAGAACACGACTTACCTGCAGGGAGATTTCTCATCCTCAGCTGAATTCTTCGTCTCTATTGGCGTCTTGGGTTTTCTGTACTGTACCTTCACCCTTATCCTGTACTTGGGCTACCAGCAGGTTTACAGGGAGTCGAACCGAGGCCCCATCATCGTGAGTCATTGATTGAATTATTAGTCAAAAAAACAATTTCAATTTCAATTTCGTTTCAGTTACTATTGAGATTGTAAGTAAAATGCAATGTCCCATTTTTGTGTGTGCATTAAATTAAAACAATTGCATTGCCTTGCGCCGGGTGTATGATAGGGCCCATAGAGTTGAAGTCAGAATTATTAGCCCCCTTTGATTTATTTAGTTATTTTTTCTTCTTCAAATATTTCCCAAATGATGTTTTACAAAGCAAGACAATTTTCACAGTCTGTCTTTTAATATTTTTTCTTCTGGAGAAAGTCTTATTTGTTTTGTTTTGGCTAGAATAAAATCAGTTTTTAATTTTTAAACACCATTTTAGGGTCAAAATTATTCCCCCTTTAAGCTATATTTTTTTCAATAGTCTACAGAACAAACCATCGTTATACAATAACTTGCCTAATTACCCTAACCTGCCTAGTTAGCCTAATTAATCTAGTTAAGCCTTTAAATATCACTTTAAGCTGTATTCACCTTATTCTTCGCCGACGAGCAGGCGCAGCCATTCGAATCTTTTTGGCATGAGACTTTCGGTCTCATTCACTTCCATTCAATTTTAGACTTTATAAACTGCTCGTTTCACTGTTTGATGTTGCAAATTGATATTTCCTTGTTGTATTATTCTACTTGGTCTGTATAGTCATGCAAACATTTGTTTGTAGAGCAAGTAGTTTGACAGTTTTTTGCCGTTATTTTTCCTAGTCATTTCTCCCATAGGCGAATGAATCGGAAGTTTTAAGACACAGGTGTCAAACTCAGTTCTAAAAGGGCCGCAGCTCTGCACAGTTTAGTTCCAACCCTAATTAAACATACCTGATCAAACTAATTGAGTCCTTCAGGCTTGTTTGAAACCTACAGGTAAGTGTGTTGGAGCAGGGTTGGAACTAAACTGTGCAGGGCTTCGGCCCTCCAGGAATTGAGTTTGACACCCCTGTTCTAAGACAATCGCGAAAACAGACGCACTTCCGCATTTTAGAATAAGGTCAATAGAAGTGTCTTAAAAATATATCTAGTCACATATTATTTACTTTCATCATGGCAAAGATAAAATAAATCAGTTATTAGAAATGTGTCATTAAAACTATTATGTTTAAAAATGTGTTAAAATATATTCTCTCTGTTAAACAAAGATTAGGGAAAAAATTAACTGGGGAATAATAATTCTTTTATTTATATCTCTTGTTATATTTTCCTCTTGTCCTTCTGACAGCCTCTTTGTCAGATTATAAATTTTCTCCTGCAGTTCCCACAAATAAGCACTGATACCACAAACTGTGCTCTGTTTGTTCTCCAGGATCTGGTGGTGACCGGGATCTTTGCCTTCTTGTGGCTGGTTTGCTCCTCCGCCTGGGGGAAAGGTCTGACTGATGTCAAATATGCCACAGATCCGAGCAGGCTTATAATTCTCTGTCTGCCTGAAGATAAATGTGAAATAAAGAGTTACCCATCTGTAGGCCGTCTCAATGCGTCTGTGGTGAGTATATGAGTCTTAATTCGGCTCTTCTTTTGTTTTGTTTCTCAAATTAAAGGCCATTTAAAGTGCTTTGAAATCTGCATTTTTATTCGATGTTCAATGTAATCTCAACTAAAACCTGAAGAGAGGGTGGGACATATCACAGCCTCCTCCTCTTTTTGACAGGCAATAGCCTTTCATGTTTATTCAATCTTTGAATAAACATTCAAAAGTTAGAGTGGTTGAGATCAAGCACATCAAATGTGAAGTGTCTTGAAGGGGCGGGGCATGTCAGATACTAGAGGGCATTTGATTTGGTCAGAAGATTTGATGAGAAACTGAAGTATGAGGTGACGTCAAAAAAAAAAAATAGTTGATCAATTTAGGCAGACAAATTGCAAACTTTAGATGTTTTATATCTTCAAAATGCGAATTTTGTAAACTTATAGATATCCTTAAAACTCCCATGAAATTAAAATAACGTTTTTTAGATGTTACTATCGTTATTGTTCGTTTTTAGGATATCTATGCTAGTGCGCTCTAAAACAGTGATAAAATTTGCATTTAGGAGATAGAAAACTGATATAAACATGTAATGCTTGTCATTTCCACCTAAATAGATCAACATTTATTCTCGTCACCTCATACTTTAGTTTCTGATCAAATCTTGACCAATCAAATACTCTGACATGCCCCGCCCCCTTCAAGACACTTCTCATTTGATGCGCTTGAGCTTTACCATTCCCACTGGCAGAGCTGTAAGAAAGATGAAACACTTGGATGTTTTTTTAAAAAGGGGTGGAGCTACTCTATGTCCCGCCCTCTTTTGTTGAGATTACGTTAAACATTGAATAAAAAAGCACATTTCAAAACACTTCACGGGACTAACATACTGATACTAACATCTAAAAAATGTTTTTATTGTTTCACAGGACCTTTAGGCATGGTTAATACCTAGTTCATGATCTTGGGAAATGATATATTGGCTTTATTACAGTTGTTTTTGGTACAATTTTTGCTTGTTAAGTGGACACACTTATAACCTGACTACAACAGGTCAATTTTGCTTTCTGTTCCAATGCAATAGTTTTGATGAATTATTGGTAAATGTTTTATTTTATGAGGCCTGCTGTATGTTATTTAATGTACAAATGAACAATCTTTACATGATCTAACTATAAGTCTGGCTATTTAGATTTCATGGCTAATACTTCAGAATTGCATTTAGTGCATTTTAAAAGTTGTTTTGCAGAATGCAAGCTCAGTCAATTTCATGCTGTGTGAAACATCTTAAATTTGCAGTTCATGTATGCAAGTTTGACACTCAGTGGTTGAAATAGGTATTGCACTCTTGGATTAAAACATTTTCACTCTGCTCCAACTCTGAGGAGTCCATGCCAATGCATGTTGCCAGATTGACATGAGTGTGCCTGACTATTGAGCCTAAAGGCTGATTTGAACTTTTAACTTCAAAAATTAAGCAATGGCACGCTAGAGAAGAAATATTTTCCATACTAAAAGAAGATTTTTTTCTTAACCAACACCTGAAACAAACACCTCATGCGCTTTATTTAGTGTTAAATGCTAATAAAGTGAGTTTGAATGCCATTTTACACAACATTTATTGCCATACTACTGAAAGCAGCAACAGATAGTTCACTTCAGATCTTGAAAATAAAATAAACCGTGTGAAATTGAGCTTTAGAACTGTGACTCAGTGCAAGCCAACAAATATTAGTTATTCAACATGTACATATAATACTATTAAAGGTGCTGTATGTAAGTTTTTGACTCATCTAAAGCATAAAAACATAATATATTTGCAGATATTTAAGATACATGCAAAGTGAACAATCTTGTTTATCTAAAAAACTAAAGTCAAATGTTTTGCTTTGAAAATGTGTTTTCCTATGGAAACATCTGTCTGTGTTTTGGTTCTTTTAACCCGCCCAATGCCACTTCATTCAGTAAGGCTCTCAAAGCATGCGCTTATGACCGAAATGCGACCTCCGGTGGACGGTAGCAGACTCCGAAATGAGATACAGATTGAAGCTCCACATGAGGTGGTTATTAATTAGCAAATAATATAAATATTACAAATGTAAACATTAAGTAAACAGGTTACGTTGTAACCCCATGTCCTAACAACACTCTACGTGACTAGATTTGCAGTGATTAGCAGTTTGGCTGTTTGCACCAGACGAAACACGACAGAAATTTAAAAACAGCCATACAGAAGCACAGAATATGCACTCACTCATGATATGGTAAGGTTTATAATCTAATTAATACATATTAAACCTCTTTAACGTTATTAAATGTTCATGCTGAATCACCTAATGTAACTTGCTCACCTAATGTTTACGTTCGTAATATTTATATTATTTGCTAATTAATAAACTGATGTGGAACTCTGAATCTGCGTCTCTGAGTCTGTTACTGTCCACCGGAGGTCGCATTTCAGTCACGGATACATACTTTGAGAGCCTTTCTGAATGAATGAAATATGCGGTTTTCTATCAAGCAGTGGCAGTGGGCGGTTTTGTAAACCAAAACAAAGACAGCCATTCCGGCACGTAACAAACATTTTTAGAGCAGAATATCTGACTTTAGCATTGTTTTTAAGATAAACAAGAATGTTCACTTGGCATGTTTCTTGAACGAGTCAAAAACTTACAAACAGCTCCTTTAATAATAACAGGGAATGGTTACTTTTCGGCTCAATGTTGCCAGATTTAGCAAAACGCTGCAAAAAAAAAAAATAAATAAATCATATCGGCTTTTTACAGTCTACACATAGCCATGATCAATGTGACCTGTTTTCAGGAAAATGCGCTGAAAGTTTAACAAAAGTAAGCATTACATATACCCTTCTTTGTTCTCCCTCCTCTAGCTTTTTGGATTCCTGAACCTGATTCTGTGGGCAGGGAACTGCTGGTTCATCTACAAGGAGACTCCGTTTCACAAGCCGGCAAACCCACCAGTAAACGCAGAAGAAGGAGTTTCCTCTTCCTAATCAGACAAAAGCGGCTCCTTCCTCTCCTCTCCACACATCCATACAGCAGAGGACATCACCGTTTGTTCATGTCCACACACACACACACACTGAAGAGAAACTACACTTTAATATGCAAAAGCTTCATGCAATGCAGTTCACTACTTATAAATGCAATAAGCTGAATTCATCATTTCTAGATGTTTGTTTTATCATTATTATTTTAGTGTCTGCTTGAAGGCACTGACAAAAGCAGGTCGTAAAAAAAATTGTATTTGATCATAGGTCTCCAACTTAAGTCCTGGAGGGCTGCAGCTCTGCGCAGTTTTGCTCCAACCCTAATCAAACTAATTAAGGTGTTTAAGACTACTTTTGAACGCCTTGATTAGTTGGATCGGCTGTGTTGGAATACGCTTATCTGCGGCCCTCAGGGAATTGAGTTTAAGACCTATGTGTTAGATCAGGGGTGCCCAAACTCAGTCCAGTGTCAAGGAGAGTTTAGCTCCAACCCTAATCAAACATGCCTGAACAAGCTAATCAAGCTCTAAATAGCATACTAGGAACTTCCAGGCAGGTGTCTTGAAGCAAGTTGGAGCTAAACTCTGCTGAACACCAGCCCTCCAGGACTGAGTTTGCCCTATCTATTAGATTAATATCAATTCGGTGACATCTTTCAGCTTTATTATGCTTTTTGTTTTATTATTAATATTTCTAGTTGACAACCTACGATTTCACAACTCTAAAAATCCACTACAATCAGACTTTATGAAAAATGAGCACCTAAAACACTAGTATCACACTAATATCTAGCTCTAGACGTCGAAAGCTTGCTTTTCCTTGTAGTTTTAACATCTATTTATTGGTGCCTTTTCATTTGCGTTCATGACGGGATGTTTTTTGCACACCCAAAACACACATCTGAGTTCTATTTGTCAAGTAAAGGCAAACAAAAGAAAATCCTCCTGATTTCAGTCATAATAATCTGATATTTAGCATGCAACCTTTTATTTTAAAGATGTTTGCATCAGTTTAAGTGCTATTTGGTTTAAAAAAATAACAAAAAACACTACACCAAAGGCCATATTTCTTATGCCAACAGGAAAAGTCTGTTAATTATTCAACACTAGGCATTGTTCAGCAGAAAGCAACTCAAATTCCTGGAGGGCAGCAGCTCTGCACAATTGAACAGCTTGATTAGTTGGATCCCCTGTTAGAATATGGTTGGAAGAAAACTGTGCAGAGCTGCGGCCCTCCAGGAATTGAGTTTGAGACCTATGTATTAGATCAGTAACATTTCAGTGACATCTTACAACTTCTATTGATTACAATTTTTAAATGATGACCTGCGATTTCATAACTCTAAATATCCACTACAATCAGACTTTCTGAAAAATGAGCACCTAAAACACTAGTATCACACTAATATCTAGCTCTAGACGTTGAAAGCTTGTTGTTCCTTGTAGTTTTAACTTCTATTTATTGGTGCCTTTTCATTTGTTCATGATGGGATGTTTTTTTGCACACCCAAAACACACATCTGAGTTCGATTTATCAAACGAAAGAAAATCCTCCTGATTTCAGTCATAATAATCTGATATTTAGCATGCAGCCTTTTATTTTAAAGATGTCTGCATCAGTTTAAGCGATATTTCGTTAAAAAAAAAAAAAACACTACACCAAAAGCCATATTTCTTATGCCAACAGTAAAAGTCTGTTAATTTTTTAACACTAGGCATTATTCAGCAGAAAGCAACTCAAATTCCTAGAGGGCAGCAGCTCTGCACAGTTGAACAGCTTGATTAGTTGGATCCGCTGTTAGAATATGGTTGGAGGAAAACTGTGCAAAGCTGCGGCCCTCCAGGAATTGAGTTTGAGACCTATGTATTAGATCAATAACATTTCAGTGACATCTAAAAATTTCTATTGATTACAATTTTTAAATGATGACCTGCGATTTCATAACTCTAAATATCCACTACAATCAGACTTTCTGAAAAATGAGCACCTAAAACACTAGTATCGCACTAATGTCTAGCTCTAGATGTCGAAAGCTTGTTGTTCCTTGGAGTTTTAACATCTATTTATTGGTGCCTTTTCATTTGTTCATGATAGGATGTTTTTTGCACACCCAAAACAAACATCTGAGTTTGATTTATCAAACGAAAGAAAATCCTCCTGATTTCAGCCATAATAATCTGATATTTAGCATTCAACCTTATATTTTAAAGATGTTTGCGTCTGTTTAAGTGCTATTTGGTTAAGAAAATAATAAAAAAACACTACACCAAAGGCCATATTTCTTATGCTATCAGGAAAAATAAGTTAATAATTCAACACTAGGCATTCTTTAACAGAAAGCAACTTAAATTCCTGGAGAGCCGCAGCTCTGCACAGTTTTGCTCCAGCCCTAATCAAAGGGCTACTCTTGAACACCTTGGTTAGTTGGACATGCTGTGTTAGAATAGGGTTGGAGCAAAACTGTGCAGAGCTGCGACCCTCCTGGACTGAGTTTGAGCCCTATCTATTAGATTAATATCAATTCGGTGACATCTTACAACTTTAATATGCTTTTTGTTTTATTATTAATATTTCTAATTGATGACCTGTGATTTCATAATTCTAAATATCCACTACAATCAGACTTTATGAAAAACGAGCACTTAAAACACTATTATCACACTAATTTCTAGCTCTAGACATCGAAAGCTTGCTGTTCCTTGGAGTTTTAACATCTATTTATTGGTGCCTTTTCATTTACGTTCATGACGGGATGTTTTTTGCACACCCAAAACACACATCTGAGTTCGATTTGTCAAGTAAAGTCAAACAAAAGAAAATCCTCCTGATTACAGCCATAATAATCTGATATTTAGCATGCAGCCTTTTATTTTAAAGATGTTTGCATCAGTTTAAGTGCTATTTTTTTTTTAAAAATTACACAAAAAAAACACTACACCAAAGGCCATATTTCTTATGCCATCAGGAAAAGTCTGTTGATTATTCAACACTAGGCATTGTTCGACAGAAAGCAAACACTTGTTTAATAGTTTTTTCTACTGTTCAGAGTAGTAATGTTGTCTTTTGTTTGTATTCAGCTGACTTGAAACTGTAAATGAAGCGTCACATGGGTTTATGTGTATATTTACAGCATCTGTGCATGTTTTACCATCTTATTTTTTACAGGAGAAACCTTTGTTGTATTGCATTCAGTTTGATCCTAAAAAAAATTGAGTAATTGTTCAATTACGGTGATTGTCTGTGTGCAGTGTATGATTGTTATTAGTTTAATTTTATATCACCAGTTAAACCTTTTTTATTATATCCTCTAGTAGTTGTTTCAAATGTAAGAGGAGCATTTACTGCCAAATCTGAACGTTTTAATCCAATAACCTGGTATGTGAATTTAGCTTAAATAGTAGACCATTGGAATTAATATAAAAAGGATTATAGCAATGTCGTTTGGGTTCATTAGTGATAACAAAGAGGAGAAAAAGTTAAAAGGGGCATTGTGGTCATCCTCATTTGGTTTTGACAAACATAAAAACGGGCCTTCGTTTGTTCTTGTTCTTGTGTTTTGTATCTCTATTGTGTCTCTAAGTTCAGAAGGAAAATCTCCAGAAGGGCTGTTTGCAGTTTTGGTTAGTATTAAAAGAGGAGAGCTGTAAATATATATTGGCTATTGGTTTGTGTTTTTATTTCGGAAAACAAACTGCTGTTTCCTACATGAAACCACTAGATGGTGGTGTTGTAAGCGCAATAAATCCATCGACTACTAACGCTGGTGTCTCATACTGTACGTGTTTCTTCAGAAAAATCGATTAACGTGAATTGCCTCTGCGCTTTCATTAATTTAAACTACTAATTTAACAAGAAAATAACAGATTACGTACAGAATAAAATAATTAACAAATATATGCATGTATATTTACATTGTTTATATACAGTTGAAGTCAGAATTATTAGCCCCCCTGAATTATTAGCACCCCTGTTTATTTTTTTCCCCCAATTGCTGTTCAACGGAGAGAAGATTTCTTTAACGCACTTCTAAACATAATAGTTTTAATAACTTCTCTAATAACAGATTTCTTTTATCTTTTCCATGATGACAGTAAATAATATTTTACTTGATATTTTTCAAGACACTTCAGTACAGCTTAAAGTGACATTTTAAGGCTTAACTAGGTTAATTAGGGTAACTATGCAGGTTAGGCTAATGAGGCAAGTCATTGTATAATGATGTCTTGTTCTGTAGACTATCAGGAAAAATATATAGCTTAAAGGGGCTAATAATTTTGTCCTTAAAATGGCTTTTAAAAAATTAAAAACTGCTTTTATTGTAGCTGAAATAAAACAAGTAATATTTTTACCAGAAGAAAAAATATTATCAGACATACTGTGAAAATGTCCTTGCTCTGTTAAACATCAATTGGGAAATATAAAAAAAATAAAAAAATAAAAAATCAGGGGGCTAATAATTCTGACTTCAACTGTATATTAGGTTTTCATGCAGTCTTTTGGATGGAACAGACACTTTTGAGGGATGTAAACGAAATCAATGGTCCCTACGCATTTCCTGTTTTACATTTTTCATTTCTGTAGCTTCTGAGAATGCAAAAAGAGCCATATATTGATAAATGATGTAATGGTGGCTGTTTTAACATTAAGTTATGAATGAATTGTCTCTTGTTACAGTTATGAAATAGTTTGGTATCAAGCAGTAAATGTTCATCAGATAATGGCATGACCACATTGAAATAGTCTAAGGTCAGTTTGTACTGGAGAAAAAAAATAATGTTCACATATTTTGTTTCTGTGTTCTTCTGCTTATTATAATATGATATTTATTTATAGACGTTAGTTATTTTACTCCATTTCCATTTGTTTTCTGTTTTGTTTTTAATTGTTTCATTTTAATCTAAAATTATCTCATTGAAATATGTGTATTTTAATGTTATCCATTGGTAAAATTCATTATTATTCATAGGTTTGTTTCATGCTTTTGTCTTTTCTTTAAGTTATCAAGTTATTTGTTTCGCATGTGTTGAAGTTGATGTTTTATTTTATAACTAGGCAGGGGCGGATTTAACCAATATACGAGGTAAGCAGCTGCTTCGGACCCTGGGGAATTAGGACCCTGACAAATGCCAAGAATACAATATTAATCATTAAGCTTTTTTTTTATGTTTACCCACATGTGTTGTATATCTTTATATAACCATTATAGTTTTATTGTTATTACTTCTTTTTAAAAAAAAGGGGGGGTCCGCATTAATATTGGAACTTTATTCATTCATTCTTTTTTTCGGCTTAGTCCCTTTATTCATCAGGGGTTGCCACAGCAGAATGAATCGCCAACTTATCCAGCATATGTTTTACACAGTGGATGCCCTTCCAGCTGCAACCCAACACTGGGAAACACCCATACACTCTTGCATTCACACACATACACTATGGCCAATTTAGCTTATTAATTTCACCTGTACAGCATGTCTTTGGACTGTGGGGGAGCACCTGGAGGAAACCCACGCGAAGACGAGGAGAACATGCAAACTCCACACAGATTCCATCTGACCCAGCCGGGGCTCAAAGCAGCGACTTTCTTGCTGTGAGGCAATCATGCTTCCTACTGACACCTACTGGAACGTTACATCATTTTATTTTTATTTTACATTATGAAGATAAAGGTTGAATGAAATTTTAACATGCAGTTTATTTACAAAAAAATCTACAGAAAAAAATATCTTTAGAGACAGAGAGTGTTTTGAGCTTCAATGCTAGGGGCCCATACCTGAAATTGCTTAGGGTTTCCACTAAGTCCGCCCCTGTAACTAGGGCCAGACATAATCTGCGGAAATATTTTTTGCTATTTCTGCACAGAATTTAGTCAAATAAAAAAATCTGTGAATTTATGAAGAATTATTTTGGGAATATCATAACTAAAATCTTAATATATTAAATAAAATAATACATTTTAACATTTAATTAATGTTTAAAATGCAAATCCAATCAGATCCACTTATTTGGTAAACAGAGCAAGTCTCTCATATAATATCTCTACTAAAAGACAGAAAATATTACTTTACAATCTGCATTGTATGAACACTGTCACATTAGTCAATAATATTCCTGAAATTAAATTAAAAACTGAATAAATATAAGTTTACAAACATTAACACAAGTAAATAAATGGACTCAACGATGGGCTAAAAATCTGCAGATTTCTGCACAGGCCTATTTATTACACAATTAGTTTTTATGAGATATTTTTATACACAATTACACATACTTTTATATTCTATTGTAACGTTTATATAATGGATAAATAACACTGAATTACGGCAGCGCAGTGGGTAGCACATTCGCGTCACAGCAAGAAGGTTGCTGGTTTGAGCCTCAGCTGGGTCAGTTGGCATTTCTGAATGAGGTTTACATGTTCTCCCTGTGATGGCGTGGTTGGGTGCTCCGGTTTCCCCCACAATCCAGACATGCGCTATAGGTGAATTGGGAAAGCTAAATTGACCGTAGTGTATGTGTGTGAATAAGAGTGTATGGATGTTTCCCAGTGATGGGTTGCAGCTGGAAGGGCATCCGCAGCGTAAAACATATGCTGGATAAGTTGGCGTTTCATTTCGCTGTGACGACCCTAATAAAGAGACTAAGCCCAAAAGAAAATGTATGAATAATACTGGATGAATAATTTTACTATTAAAATAGCAATAAAAACATTTTATATTTCATTTTTCCACGTTATAAAACAGTTGTCATTTTTTTCAGATTTCAGTGTATTTGCATGACAAATGTGTACATTTTTATTGCTAAAGAGTTTAAAGAAAAGAATAATTCAGCCAAATTAAATTAAATATAATAACAAAATGCAAATGATATTTAATATTTATTTAATAATCATTACAAACAATAATTTCGCATAACAAGTGCGCGCACGTAGGTCTCCCTCCGCCCACGGGAGCGCGCGCCGTGACGTCAGCGCCTTGCCGCGCAGTGATGATGGCGGTGCGTGAACGCGCAGTTAAAGTAATGGCTGCTCTGGAACGGCGGGTGCCTTGTCTCGATGATTTCGTGGGCCAAAGCTGGAGCGTCTGGACCGAAAGAGCCAACCTGACAGCATCGGAGGGTGAGTGAGCGCCTCGTCGCCGGTATTTCTCCATCCACCGCCAAAAAGTCTCGCGGATGTGCTTTATATTTCGTGGAAAAGGCACGGCATCCCGAACCATGTTACCCAAACAAAGAACCTGCCGGGTCCTAAAGCCGGCCGGGTTACGCGCTTGCGCTCTCTCGCCGATCAGTGTCGTCATAATAGAACGTGTTCCGTGTTCGTTTTGTCTGGAACTTCAAATGTATCAAACGCTCTCATTCTAAAGCCGCTCGTCTGCTTTAGTCTGCGGCCACATTTTCAGCGCAATTAATAGTGTAGGGCTCATTTGCAGGTAGTTTTTATTTTGGCCCCACCCACAGGAGAGCTTGTGCTTCACAGATGAGCAGTTCATGGCACAGATTGCATGTTGCATTGAACATCTTGTGGAATAAAACCTAAACAGTTGGCCAGTTCTCCTAGAATTACCCCCAATAAACGCAACACTATGTCTAAGTCAATGTAGGTCTCCTTTTTCTCTGTTAGTTTTGTCTCACTGTGTTGCATTCAGGCTCTTGCCACATTCTGGACCACCACATTCAATGTTTTCAGTGTTTACAGTAGATGGCCCTATAAATTGTCGGATTTGGAAAAGATGGTCATATATGCTTAAAAAGATTGATGTGTACAGTTAGTGCTCATGTTTTAAATACCCTCTTTAACACACTTCCTCCAACTGTGTTTCATAGGGTCCGATGGAGATGAATACAGCAAGAATGGAAAAAAGACGATGGAAACCATGACACTGAGGAAAGAGGGTTGGCATTATGTATTTATCGTTCATGTTAAGTGGAAACCGTGGTATCAACACAACCCCATTTAGTGATGGACTGATGCATAAGCTGATTAATTGGCTGGTGTTTTACTGTTTGGGATTAACAAATGTGGAGGTTCTTCCTGTTAGGTTCAACATTTCTAATCAGCCTTATCAATAAACAATGATCTTTTGTTAATTTTTAAAAGGGTTAGTTCACCCAAAAATGAAACTTCTGCTCTAAACCTGTTTGAGTTTCTTCTGTTGAACACAAGGGAAGGTGGTTTGAGGAAAGCTGTAGGCCTGTAACTATTGACTTAATGTTTTTTTTTTTCCTACTATGTACGTCAGTGGTTACAGGATTTCAGCTTTCATTGAATTATCTGTTTTGGTGTTCGACAGAAGAGAGGTTTGGAACCACTTGACGGTGAGTAATTGGTATGGTTTCATTTTTGAGTGAACTATCCCTTTAAGTAAATCTCACATTTCTTCACATTACTTCAGTAGTTTGAAGGGGTAGTTCACAGAAAAACAGGAAATAATAATAATTTGCTAACCGTCACACAGCATCTAAGACCGTGCTTCTCAATTCCGGTTCTAGGGCTCCTCTGTCCTGCACATTTTGTGTCTCACATTAAGTTTTTAAATTCATCCTCTCTCAATAGCAGTTGATGGCAAGTAGACTGGATATTGATTTAGAGTAGGGGTACCATGTTTTTTAACTGATTCACTTATATAAATGTCAGATGTCTCCATGAGTGTATGCTGCAAATGAAATTTCCCTACGGTTGCAGACAAGTAAAGTTAACTAATTAATGCTGTTTCCCAATTCGCATACTATCCATCGTAAATAGTATTTGAAAATAGAATTA